GGGTTGTGAGGTGATGGCAGYGAGTCCCTTTGCAGGTCCCTGCAGCTCGAGCTCCTCTGTGTCCACCCAGCCTCTCCTTCCCTTCACATGTTGGATGTATTCACTCCTCACAGAACTGCCTCAAATGTAAAAACACATCTCTGAATAAATACAGCCATAATTTAATGTTTATGATTGATTAGTCAGCACTGTGATATATGCTGACCATATTGAAGCTTGTCATTTACGCTCGCCCGTTCAGGATGACTAAGGCCCTTAATTCGGTTAGAACACATATGTCACTTGGGTGGYGTACTGGAACTGCTCTAAACCCGAGCAAAGGCAGCGAGCCTTGCCTCGCTGCGCCAGATTGCTGTTTTCTGGACAGCAGGCACGAGCACGCAGAGCGAGAGCAGCCTCGGTACCGAGATAACGGAGGTAACGGAGATAAGAACATTTCCTTCAAAACCAGAGAACTGCATCTCCCCCKGCGGAGGGGAGCGTGGCGTTCGGCTTCCCTCTGGCTGCTCTCCTGAGGAAGATGAGCCATGAGGTGTGATCTGCAGTGGGAAGGTGTAACCTGTTCCTGTGGAGAACTGCTCCACAAACCTTGCAGAGAATGGAGAAAGTCCCAAATTCCCTGCTCTCAAATACTCTGCAATTTGTTAGCAAATTATTTCTGACCCCATCAGCGAAAATGTCAGAGCGTGGGACACAACGGTTGCTGAGACTGATCAGGTCAGGGAGCTGCGATCCGAGCTGCAAACCTGCAAGCCCAGTTTTGTTAGTGGCTGTTATGAGCTTGAGTGCAAGGCTGTGTAATCCTGGTGCTGGCTGGCAAGTGCCTGGTGGAAACAAGGTGGCACAGGGCCGTGTTCTTAATAGCTGCATGTTGCTCGTGCATAGAATAAGGAAGACTTCTGCATCTCACGTTAATGTATGCTTTTTGGAGGCACTTTTCAACAATTTCAAGACTTGATGGGTAAAGCCTAAGCAACCTAGGCTGAACTCCGAGCTGCCTCTGCAGGAACCTGGGCTAGAGACGTCCCGAGGTCCTTCCCAAGCTGAACTCTCCTATCATCCTAGGATGATTTCTTATCATAATAGAAATATAGGATAATAAAGKTAGAATTTATTCATCTGGCCCCAAACAAAAGAAGATGGGAACAGTATATTTGTTAACAGTTGGTGAAACACAGTATTTGATCAACTGGCAGTGACATGAGATTATCATCAGTAGGTTTGTGAACTATCATGTTCCCAGTTTCTGAAAATAAGATTTCATCAACTAAATGTCTCTTGCCTTTGTGGCTGCAAAGGTAACCTTTTGAAAATGAACTGATGATAGACTAATGCAGGTATTTCRCATGGAAATTGCAGATAATCTGAAATAATAATGCATAATGATACCAAATGCTTCTAGTCATCTCTGTGGGATATTGGCAGTAAAACCTAACGATGTCAATTTGTATATAAACATTGTTAATTATTTAATATTACTTAAAGTTCACAAAAAGGGAGTAAGTTGTATTATCAATATATTCAATCTAATGTGACAGCTCACTAGTCKGAGGMATGCAATGGCTTTTACTCTAACAASTGTTCAGGAGTATATTAATCTTAAACTATACATTATAGCTATAAGAAATTAATATTAAAATTGCAAATCAGCATGGATGGGGTTGTACAATCTTGTACAACATTTATGATRATTTTAATATAGCTACTGAATCTATTTCCATAACAGGTTTATAGGAACACTGTATGTCAACTGGCTTTGAGAGCTGCCTTTTGCTTGCCAGGTGTACTCCTTTATTATTATTAATCTAGTGACTGAATTTTTATAGTTTTATTTATTTTTTGGTCCCTTCATGGCTGTCCTCACAAGGTAAAAAGCTAAAGTAAAGCCCAGCAAATCCTCCTGTCTGTGCTCTGACCTATGAATATATTCACGGAGCGAAGACTTCAAAATCAGCCCCTCGGTGTGGGTTGTAGCAGCACCACCACATATCTGCTGGTGGTGACCGGGTGTGAAATTATGGTCAGCTGTAGCTTAAAACCTGTGTCTCTGAATCTCCAGCTCCATCAGGATTCGGAAATAGGAGCTTGTTAAGGATCAGAGAAGGAAAGTACATGAACCATTTGCKTTTTGTTTTGATCACTTGGATTTAGCAGACTTCTGTCTGGTCAGAAATTCATCTCCATGTTATTTCCCATTGTCTTTCAGTGATCCTGATGTGCGCAGGAGAGTGAGAACATAATCTGTTCAGGGGATGGATTGGGAATATCCAGTTCCTCAAAAACAACAGARTGACAGATGAGGTGCCAAATCTGAGACGGTGTCGAATGAAATAAGCTGCTAAACCTCAGTACCAAGGATTAGCATCTCGTGAGTTTAAACTGCTGAAACTGGAGCTTGAAGAAGGCTGAGAGCCACCAACAGAATAATGGGAATAAGTATGAGAAATAAGAGATATGTCTCCTTTACATTTCTCTGAATACAATATTGTCAGTTTAGTATCTGAGTATCTTTCGTGTAAAGGAACTTGATAGGAATGCACTTCCTAGTGGAGTGCTGCAGAATCTCTGAGCCTTTTATTTCCAATATAAGGGAAAAAAAAGTGCTTAGGTGTGTGGATACCATTTTGCTTATTATGAGGGAAAAAAAAGCATAAAAAATATGATTTTTAAGCATTTTCTACATGTGGCTGTGTTTGTATTTGCCCAGTGTGCTTACTGTCCATCCCTTTGGGCCACAAGGCAGCACCCGCAGCTCTGAGGCTGCTCSCTCTGGGGCTGCCCTCGGCTTCCTCGTGCAGCCAGAATCAGGGACATCGGCGGGTTTGAGGTTTAGCACCAAGACCTTGGAAGCACATGGGGAGCTAATAGACAGGCTGARGCTCCTGCTGTGTTCACGGAGGCTTAAACGGGTGAGAAAAGGGTCAGGCACATCCATATTATTTTCACCTTTTGCTGCTATTTGCAGTGATTTGGCTCGGTGAGGATAAAGGAATAGCTCCCTGCCAGGAGGTCCCCTACCACAGAAGGTCATAACGAGTGGGTAATGAGATGGAGATAAGGAGACATTTTTAGCAATTACTCTGTGGTCTAGACAAATCCCAGTGATGTGCTTAGCAGAAGGCTAAATCTTTGCACCACCAACCACAACGTAAATATCTCAGGGCACTGAGAACATGCTCAGAGTATAATACAGGCAGGTTGGTGGCAGGACAAATCGTCCTGAGCTCCTCTTGCATCGATTTTTTCCTTGCTGTGTGTCAGAAACTTCTGTTATTAGTCAGTCACTAACAATGATTAATTACTAGGGATACAGCTGATGTGCAATATATATTTGAGATCAATATCAGTAAAGACTATGTGATCTTGGAAGTGTTTGACTGTGGAACCGTCTCCCAGGAAAATGAGAAACCCAATTATTTTGCATGTGAGTTCACTGAAGAGCCCCAGATATTTAGCTGGAACGTAAATGAAGATGAGATGGTGAAGAGCAGGAGACTGTTTACCTTGGAATACACTCCTAAACTGAGCCTTAATGTTTTTTTCCACTTCTATCTTTTATGAAACCTACAGCATATATAGATTTTTATAGATAYACATATATATGTATGTGTGCACATAAATATACAAAACCTCCAGAAGAACAGGTTTTATTTCAGTTTGCCTTAAGGCATCAGCCGTTCTGTGATGCTAAGTGCTAAGGTAGGTAATACATATCCAGGTATTAGAGTAACTGTGACAAAAAATAAATAAAAAAAAAAACTCAAAGACTTAACTCACAGATCTTTTCAGAATGTGTGGCTATGAATAAACCATTTACATTCTCAAGTGTGTGCTCAGATACAAAAGAATTAAAAGGTCAAAAAATTATAATGCATTTGCTGCATCCCTGTGTGAGAGCAAAACTCATTATTATTTGCAGTGTCCTGTCCTTYTTAATTAAATCATCAGATCACAGGTACATTCTGGAGCATCTCAATTATAAAAGGTTACYTCCATCAATTTATTCCTGATTAGTTTATTAATTACAGTCCTTGACACTTGATTCAAGTCATTACTCTTTCCTCAAGATAAAAGTGCTTATTATTTTAATAAGCGCAGCAAATAGACCTTGATTTTAAATAAAAATATATTGTAAACATATATTTTTAAAAGCTTGTGCTAAACTTGGCTTTGATGGAATTATGCTCTCTTATAAAGAAGTCCAATTCCTTGCTGCTGACCATAGGCAAATTTCTGAAGAGTTTCATTAGTGCATCCCCATTCTACTCATAAAATGATAGAAGAAACACTACAAACTGTAATTCTTYTAAGTTTTGAAGCAATATTTTGAAAGTGGAGCTTCCATCCATGGTTTTTGAATATTTTAAAATGAGATCTCTRGTGGTTCTGTGGTATTTTCTCCTTAAAAAAATGTTTGTTGAGACATCTGAGAGACAGACAACTTGTGGTGACCTACCTAACACAGAGTCCCCGCAGCCTCAGTGGCTAAGCTGTGTTTGGGGAGCCAGTGTAAGCCCGGCTTTCTTTTCAGATACGTGTGCCCAGCATCCGGGTCGAGCATCTCCCTTCCCGAGAACTTTGCCAGCCGGGGCACTGGGGCCGTTCTGGGCAAGCGTCCCGTTCAACAGGGCTCCTTTCCACCCCGCACTAGCTCGAGACCTGATCCTAAATAATTAAAARCAAACAAAAACACTCGTGCGGGTGATTTTCATTGCAGGATTCGGCGCGGGCTCCTGTGGGCACCAGCCTCCCTCGGCGCCGCGGGGACATCGTGTCAGCCACGGAGCGGCCGGGGGGCGGCGGCTGCCGCCGTCAGGGGCCGGGCCCGGGCAGGACAGGGCGGCGCGGCGGGGCGGAGCGGGGCCTGCCGCCGCCTCCGGCTCCTCCTCCGCGAGCAGCAGGTGGAAGGAGCGCGGGCGGCCGTTGTGAGCGGAGCCGCTCCGTCCTGTCCCGTCCCGCTGCCGGCTGCGGGGCGTGAGGAGGGGGCGCCGCCTCCCGCCATGGCCTTCACCTTCGCCGCCTTCTGCTACATGCTGTCGCTGGTGCTCTGCGCCGCCCTCATCTTCTTCGCCATCTGGCATGTGAGTGCCCGCGGCGCCGCCGCGCAGCGGCTCGGGGCCGTTGGGAGCCGTTGGAGCCGCGAGGCGGCCGTTGGCGGCCGTTGGCGGCCGTTGGCGGCGGGGCGGGCAGGGCAGGGGTGGCGCCGTGCGCTGCGCCCCGGGGGGAGCCGGGCAGAGCTCGTCCCGGCTCCCCTCTGCTGTTGCTGTTGTGATTTTCTAAAGGAAATTCAGAATTTACAAACGCAAGGGCGGATGAAAACTGTGGCAGTTTATTATTTTACCAAAGTCTTGGCCTTGCGAGCTTCTGGCCTGTGCTGTCCCYCCGAATGCAGTCCCAGGGTTTAAACGCGGAGGGCTTTAAGCTGCTTATATCTTAGTATTAATGGTGCTAATTAACCTGTGAGAACTTAGAGTTGGGAGTAACGGGTTTTGTTGCCCTGGGACAGAGGATGGTGGTGGAAGAGCTGGTGTAGCGCGTGGTGAAGCCATGGGGCAGTTCTGCTTTCGATGTTCACTATGTGAATAACTTCTTAAAAGTCAAAGATTCGTGTGGAACTTTGTCGTCTCTGTCGTGCGTGAGTTAGGTGTTTGTTATCCATGAATTTCACTCAAAAAGTGGGATTGCTTGTTTCCTACCACATTAGGTGTGAGCAAGTAGCCTAAAATCTCAGTATGTTTCAGCAGTGGGACTGTGATCCTTATGTGTGATTGGAAATTCCTTCAAATGCATGAGTATTTGGGAGTTATTTATGGAGTAGGTACTCTGCTGAAATACTGTCATACTAAAAACATTTAGGAAGGAACAAAATAACTTGGAAAAGAGGAAGTATTATGAGCACTTTTGCAGCGCAAATATATCTGATGGAGTGGTATAAAAGAGCTCCTTTGACTAACTGGCAAACAGGGATGTTCYGAGGGGTTCTGCGCTGTTAATGATGGACTTACAAGTTTTTTCATGCTGATGAAACCACTAAAATATTATAGTAATATCCTAGTACTGCAAGGCTTAAAAGGGTTGCTAGCAGTCAACTAGGTACTCTTGTGCTCTGAAATAAAATAAAAAAAGGGGGGGAGGGAAATTCCTCATCTCTTCCCTCCTGATTCCCAGACCATAAGGACTCCAAAAAGCGAGGTTTCTACAACTTCCTTCAAGGGCTGAGAGAGRAAAAGTAAATCTCTCTTCTTAATCTCTTGCTATGTATTAAGGGGTTACTTCCACAGTTACTGTCATCATTTTAATATTTTTGACGTATTTAAAGTGTCTCAGCAGTGATGTTCTTCCTGGCTACATCGCTGTTGTCTGGAGACACAGAGYGCTTCCAGCAAGCGTGCCAAGTTATTCTTGTGTAGATCAGGGTAGTTGCTGCAAGTTTCTTCTTAGTGAAGCAGTTTTCATCTGTCAGTCTGCAAACCCATGGGGGGTGATCCCTTATTCCTAAATGTCTGAAGGAGACACCTGTGAGAGGAAACCTTTTGTCAGCGAGTTTAGGTTTTAATGCACRGTTCTTGTATCTGTTGGAAATTTGTTGCAAATTTAAAATCAAAAGTGACTGAAAACACCATCCTGTTATAATAGGGAACAATTATTTCCCTATTCCTAATTCTAATCTTAATTTAGAAATAGATGATAATTCTGTTAAAATATGTTTTGTGAAGATCATAAAATAACAGWTTTAATGCCCTGCCAAATCAAACATTTACACATAGCCCATATAAACAAAACACAAGAACTTTTATTACCCTCCCTCCTTTTTTTTTTTTTTTCCCCCCCAAGGAAGAAAACCCCTAGTCCTTTCCTGTGACCTGTTTTTTTCTTTTTCTTTTTTTTTTTTTACCCACTGCAATGTATTTTTAAGGGACRGTAGTATTTTAAATAGGCTTTTGGCATGGCAGTAGAGGATTTTATGAATTAAATATTCCTGTAAAACTGTTTTTGTTTTAAGAGCTTTTTTAAGAGCATTTTGGTTTGGTTACTGCTAAGAATAAATTGCTGATTAATCTGATCCCATCGCTTTGAAAAACTCATTAGGTTCAGAGACTGAACCTGCATGTTGTAAATTATTTTGAAGGGACAGAATAATTTCCAGCATTTGGACATCATATGGTTCCATAACTGACTGAGATTTGGGCAATTATCTGGAATTATTTGATAATGACTTAATAAAAATGGCTTAATAAAATCTCATTTTAGCCCTACTGGGATGTTAGGTGGTTTATATAAGAATAATAATTTTCGTTAATATCGATGTAACAGCTGCAATAAAACTATGAAGCYAAAACAACAACAAAAGAAGTGTAAGATGAGGTTTTCTGTTTTGGGAAACTGTATTCTTCTGATGCCTTTCCTGTATGTAATTAAACGTTCTCTAAACCATTATGCCCCATGCAAATTATGGGGGCAGGTAGAATGAAGCTAGAAAGAATTTTTAAAGGAATCATAAAGGAAAAAATGGAAATCTGTTCGAATATCTGGGGCACGTAACATACATTTTTCCTATCTCTGAGTGAAGTGCCGGTCTAGGTTTCTAGTGTTGGCTGGCATGAGAAGTGAACAAATTGGATGATATTAACACAAGCATTTAAGCTATGCACAAGATTAATCTTAATGTATTCTTGCTGGGATTTCACTCATGCATATTCAGTGAATGAAAAGTGCTTGAAAGTCTAATTCACGATGTTTTATATAATGTTAATACTGGTCTCTGAGGTGTRGAAATCTCTTAAGCATTTAGGTTGTTCAATGACCACATTACTGCTGTTTGGAAAGACACAATTCTGAAAGCGCTGTGTAGGAGTGGATGCCTTTGTGCTGTTGTTGTACAAAAGAACTGGAGAACTTAGCAGACAAGGGTGACCTTGGCCTTTCTACTTGGTTTCTTCTAAGGAGGCTGATGGAATTGAGTAAAACCTTGCATTCCCATTATAAAATTGCATAGGCTGTTTCAAAAAAAAAAMCMAAAAAAAACCACAAACAAAAAMTGGTTGCTGTTGAGAGTAAACTCTACAGATCACTGTGAATCAACTCTTTCAAAATTCAATAATGCTTTTTCATGCAAGAACTAAAATATTTCTGAGTTGATGAATTCCTAGCTATATACTTTAGAAAATGTGTCAACATTTGAAGCCACGTTAGCAGAGTTCACTAAATGAGCCTGTCTTGGAATGAAGTTAGCCAACAGCAAAATGTAAGCTAACTTTGACTGAATAGTGTGTGAAAAAACATATTATATAGAGGTAACTTAATACAGTTGTGTCGAGTGTATAGTCTATGTAACTGCAAGATGTGATTGCAGAAATCTGTTGCTTTAGTAGCTAACGGATCATTTAAATGCYTTTTGAGAAAGGGGTCCTCTCACAGCTGACCATGTTCTGGTAGGGTTGTGTGATGTTGCTAACAGCAGATTTTGGTTCATTGACTTCATAATTTTATATTCTGATCTGATTATGCCATGAGCTCGAGAACAATGTATGCACTTGTCCTTCCTGGATATTGCAGAGACATCGTCTCACCTTGCCCAGCTCTTATTGTTCCTTATAAACAACTTGCTAATGTCAGAAACCAGTTTTATTTATCTAAACTAAGGTTTAGCTGCCTAGTAGCGCTTAACTGAACAAGGTCGAATCACCTTGGACTCCCAACAAGATTTCATATGCCACATTACTGTCTGCTTGATTTCAATTAAACTRTGCCTGGATTGAAGTTAATTGAAGATGACCAAATTGTGGTTTATTTTTAGTCACTTAAAATGTGACTTGCCTGTATGAATCCCTGCCAACTTATTACACTCTTTAAAATACATTAGTTTGGGGCAATAAGGATATATATGAAGGAGAGGCTGTTTTTTTTTTGTTGAAAAATTTAAGATCAATTTATCTTCTTTGAGACTTGTTTTAAAGAAAGCTTTAAGAAAAGAGATTTGCGAATGTTCAAGTATATAATACCACTGTAACAACAACCCATAAATATTAAGAACACTACTGTTCTAAAATAACTTTATGCAGTAGACTGKGTCTCTTTGAACTTGCGTCATCACACCTCTGAGTGTATGTTAATGCTTAGTAACCAGCAGTACTAAACTGTTGTATKAGGGTATCATACCAGTGAAAAATTTAGTAGTATTGCACAAGAGTTTATACRAAATGAAGTAAACGCTTGGGGTGTTTTGCTGTAATTGTGAATACACGTGGGTATTGGACAGTTGCCTGGCATGGCAAGAGTACAATGTACTGAAATGGGTGAGTACTGACCCCAGCCTAAGAAAAGCAATGCATCAGTATGAAATTTATTTATGTTCTGTGGTCGTGGTGGTTGTTACTGTTTTTCTTGTTTGTTTTYGGATGTGGGAATAATACTGAACCTCATATACGGCCAGAGTTTGACTTTGCCCAGTACAGTTACAAATTTCCAATTAATATAGCATATAGTGGGAGGCAATGATTAGATACAGTACTGTAGACTAAAGTTGGCCTTTTTTTGGTGTAAATTTAAGGGTTTTTTTAAACACCAGGGTAGAAGTCTTGGGAATCTGTGTTCCGAGCTATTTTKGCATAGGCCTTGTGTATTGTGTTTATGGGACATCTTAAATTCCATATGGATTGCTTTTTCATTTATTAAGCAGAACTTAGCTCCAAGTGCTGTGTGTCATTTTATTCAACGTTTACCTCTAAAATGCCTTTAGCTTCCAACAGAAGCTGCTGTGCCCATACAAGAAGTATGCCAGTTTTGTTATTATTCACTTTTGCCCAGCTGATGTCAACTGTTTCTTATTAATACCCAATTTGTAGCAATTTGGGTAAAGAAATTGAAAGCTGTCCAGTACTTACATGTATGGAATTTGGTGAGTGTCCAGCATCTGATGCACTTAAGTTGGCTTGTGAAATCCCTAGCCTACTGTTTGATAAGTTAGGCTCATTTTTAAACATAAATGAAAAGTACAGGAGAGAGTCAATTAAAGCTTGGTTTGGTAGCGAATTCACGAGTTGCACGTGATCTACTGGAGTATCAGTGTTCTCTGTGTATC